GTAATCTACAAGGAAACATTTTTTCTCAAATGGCTTTTATCCTCGGAATAAAGATAGCCAACAAAAAGTCACTTTAAGCCAAGATTTTTAGATATACAACAAAATATATTAAAAAATAATAATAATATATACTACAAAGTCCATGATTTGATTCAAATAACCTTTTCAATATTATCGATACGTCCAACTGGCTGAGATAAAAATATAAACGTTTGACCAAGATGATCAAGAGTTTCCACCATTGGTCATAAACAGGTAAACAAAAGAGGTCAGGTAAGGGACCATCCCTGGAGTCGGGACGATCCATGTTAGAGAAAACAACGAAGAAGTCAGAGGGGAAAAGAGTACTCTTTCTTCGGGAAAGGGCATAAACAGACTTTACTCAGGGCCCAGAAAAGCCCTTCTCCAGTCTTCTTTTGAGTCTCCCAAAAGGATAGGATAAATCATTGATATTTGATGATCCCTAAAGCTAAAAGAGTAAAAATCATGATTAAATGAGGTTGGTTTCATGATTTTATCCAAGGAAATTATACGGTTTCTCTATAAGCTGATAAAATTAACGTCAGTTTTGACTTATAGAGTCTTGTTGAACAGACAAAACAATAAAGATTCTGGTATCAGAATCGTTGTTAAGGCACCATCGTGAAATATTATAATGTGCGGTGGGAACCTGGAGCATACTAAATTGAAGGGTGTTCCATGCAATCTATACTCTAAACACAACTCTACTACTTAACGTAGCATCTCAGGATTGAGTTGCACTGCATAGAGTTAACGCTACATTCATCTCTCTCAATCACCGAGGAGGCGAAACAGTCGAATACCGAGACATGATAAGCTTTTACAGTGTTTTACTCTATTTTTCTATGAATCTTCTACTATTTTCTACTAGCATCAATGGTTACAGTGATGTTGAAGTTCTGTTGAAGCTCAAGTCTTCCATGATTGGACACAAAGGTTCAGGTCTCCACGACTGGGGATCCTCTTCATCTCCATCTGCCCATTGTCATTTCTCTGGCGTTGAATGCGATGAGGATTTGCGTGTTGTTGCTCTCAATGTGTCCTTTGCTCCTCTCTTTGGCACCATTCCTCCGGAGATAGGGCTCTTGAACAAGCTCGTGAACCTCACAATATCAATGGCTAATCTTACAGGATATATTCCGTTGAAGATGGCAAACTTGACTTCTCTCAAGATATTAAACATCTCCAACAATGTTTTCGGAGGCAATTTCCCTGGTGAAATACTTACAGGCATGGCGCAGCTTGAGATTCTTGATGTTTACAACAATAACTTCACGGGTCATCTTCCAGTTGAGGTGGCGGACCTGAAAAATCTAAAGCATCTATGTCTCGGAGGCAACTATTTCACGGGAGAGATACCGGAGAAGTACGCCGACATCCAGAGCTTGGAATACCTGGGTCTAAACGCCAACGGTTTAAAGGGTAAAATCCCTGCAGCTTTAGGTCGTTTAAAGAACCTGAAACACTTGTATCTTGGATATTTCAACACCTATGATGGAGGAATTCCTCCTGAGTTTGGATCATTGAGTCAACTTCATTTGCTCGACATGGTAGGCTGCAACCTCACCGGCGAGATTCCTGCGAGTTTGGGCAATTTGAAGCACCTGCACACAATTTTCCTTCAGCGGAACAATCTTACAGGCCATATTCCTCCTCAACTCTCTGGTTTAATCAGCTTGAAATCGCTTGATCTTTGCAGTAACGGGTTAACGGGGGAGATACCCGAGAGTTTCTCTGCCTTGCAAAACATTACACTTATCAACTTGTTCAGAAACAATCTCTACGGTCCAATCCCGTCATTCGTTGGTGATTTTCCCCATCTCGAAGTGCTTCAACTCTGGGGAAACAACTTCACTCTTAAATTACCTGAGAATCTTGGCCGTAACGGGAAGCTTTTTAAGCTGGACGTTGCTTCTAATCACCTCACTGGGATGGTTCCACGGGATTTGTGTAAGGGTGGGAGGCTGAAGTTGTTAGTTCTGATGAAAAATTTCTTCTATGGTCCACTCCCTCAAGAACTTGGTGATTGCAAGTCTCTTACCAACTGGGATTTTCAACTTGCCCTTGCTGACTGTATTCGAGTCTGACGACAATTACTTCTCCGGAGAACTTCCATCCCAGATGTCTAGTGCTTCGTTTGCTCAGCTAAAAGTTTCAAACAATAGGATCACTGGTAGAATCCCTCCAGCGATTGGCAATTTGGGCTCTTTACACATTTTATCTCTTGGAATGAACAGATTTACTGGAGAAATTCCTGAGCAAATCTTTAATATCAACTCACTTTCAACGATGGACATCAGTCACAACAATATTATTGGTCAAATCCCTCCTTCAATCACCCGGTGTGTTTCACTTACTTCAATTGATTTCAGTCAGAATAATCTCACCGGTGAAATTCCAAAAGGAATTAAGAATTTGATGGATTTGGGCATTCTCAATTTGTCTCGAAACCAGCTAACCGGCCAAATCCCTGGTGAAATCCTATACATGACAAGTCTCACGACTCTTGATCTCTCTTTTAATAATTTCAGTGGCAGCATACCCACCGGTGGCCAATTTTTAGCCTTCAACGGCAGCTCGTTTACCGGAAACCCCAATCTATGCCTACCGCACCAGGTTACTTGTCCATCTTTGGTGAACCAAGCTGAAGGTTCCGGTCACGGCCATGCAGCATCTTTCACTGCTACAAAGCTTGTTATCACCATCCTTACGGTGATCACAGCTTTGCTGATGATGGTCGCCACGGTGTACAGAGTGAGGAAGAAGAGACTCGAGAAATCACGAGTATGGAAGCTCACTGCTTTCCAAAAACTAGATTTCAAAGCCGATGATGTGCTGGATTGCTTGCAAGAAGAGAACATTATAGGGAAAGGTGGAGCTGGAATTGTCTATCGCGGCTCCATGCCGGACGGCCTTGACGTCGCAATTAAAAGATTAGTGGGTCGTGGAACCGGAAGAAGCGACCACGGGTTCTCGGCGGAGATTCAAACCCTGGGTCAGATCAGGCACCGGAATATCGTAAGACTGTTGGGTTACGTATCGAACAAGGACACCAATCTGTTGTTGTACGACTACATGCATAATGGGAGCCTAGGAGAAATGTTGCACGGTTCAAAGGGTGCTAATCTGCAATGGGAGAGGAGGTATAGCATTGCTATGGAGTCTGCCAGGGGACTGTGTTATCTTCACCATGACTGCTCGCCTCTGATTATACACAGGGATGTGAAGTCCAACAATATTTTACTTGATGAAAATTATGAAGCTCATGTTGCTGATTTCGGGTTGGCTAAGTTTTTGCAAGATGCCGGCGCCTCGGAGTGCATGTCTGCCATTGCTGGTTCCTACGGCTACATTGCTCCAGGTTTGAATTCACCCATTTTTTGTTTCGTTTAACGTAACATAATCTTCTGGATACTTTGTTTCAGCTCTTTGACTTGATATGAAATATGCAAACAGAGTATGCCTACACGTTGAAGGTGGACGAGAAAAGCGACGTGTACAGTTTTGGTGTTGTGCTGCTGGAGCTAATAGCAGGAAGAAAACCTGTAGGGGAATTTGGAGATGGGGTGGACATTGTAAGGTGGGTAAGGAAGACAATATCAGAACACCCACAGCCGTCCGATCCTGCTTCAGTGCTGGCAATCGTGGACCCCAGGTTGAAAGAGTATCCATCGGCGGGTGTCATCCATCTGTTCAAAGTAGCTATGAAGTGTGTTGAAGATCAGAGCTCCGATAGGCCTACCATGAGAGAAGTCGTTCACATGCTCACCAGTCCACACCAAGCCCATGCCTCATCACCTTTTGACATCACTCATCAGCTGCTGCCCATTGCAGTATAAATAAAAAACTATAGGAAACTGTAATAATTTTCAAACCATGTAAGGTTTTGGGTATTCGAAAAATGTCTCACTAACCTTCCTAGATGGGTGATAATTGTGTTCATGTGTTTGTTTTAGTTTTCTTATATTTGTATTTGTACCACTATTACATATTTTTATATACCATGTACTAGTTTGAGGTTTGACCTGAACTGTTTTAAAATTTTTCATTTAAGCTCTTTCTTTAGCAGCTTCACATACTCTTAGGATGGGCATAGAGATATAACTATGATTATCCTTAAAAGAATATAATATTATTTTCTCAAGTTGAATCAAAGATTTTTATCTTAAACTCGAATTTAACTGATTTTTAAAAACATGTATATATAATCCTAACCTAATATAGAAAAGTCTCAATATTATAAGATCAAATCAAATCAAAACCTATCAAATAAACCTCAATCCAAACTTCTTTCAAAACGTTATGATTTATTATATTTATCAAGTTTAAATTTATCCTAAATTTATAGTCAGATCTATTCCAACTTTGATTTCACTATATACACTAATTTAGGGATTTTTTACCCTACAAATCATTTAATTAATTAGTCCAATAAGGTATATAAAAGTTTATCTATAAATTTACGGTATTTGATACAATGACTTGAAATTCATCACGTCAAAGTGACGAATTTCAATAAAAAAAATATTTTTATTCAAAAATTTTATCATGATGTGATAAAATTTAATAAAAAATATATTTTATTATAACTCATCACCTCGATACGACGAATCTGAATAAAAAAATATTTTTTTTATTAAAACTCATTACGTCGAGATAATAAATTCCACAAACATTGTAAAAATTCCACGGATCTCAAATAAATTTTTACTTACTATATTTTCCCAAATAATTTACCCATTTGTCTTATTGAGAAAAAAAAACCCCCTAGTTTAGGCCCATTGTTGGTTGTTTGGTTTAACAAAAGGAAAAGGGAAAGTAGTGTACGCCGCCTTCCTTCCAACATAGTTTTAACTATTGGGCCAATGGGCCTTCTTTCAACTTCATTCTTTAACTATATACGCCCTCTCTTGATTTCCAAAAAATTTAAATCATATTTTCCCCGCCATCTGGGTTTCAACCATGAGTACTGCGAGAAATGCAATGGAGACCAATACCGCCACACCAAGTTCCACATTGATCACCGTCCGTCGAAACCCACACCGTAAGGTCAGGTCTACCGCCTTATTCAATGCATCTCGACTTCGACTTCAGTCCACTTCATCTTCTGAATTACCTCAAATTTCTTCGTTTCCAATCCAAGATATTCTCTCAGAAAAAATCCTGCAAAATTCCCCCGCCATCACAGCCGCCTCTCCATCACCTCCGCAAGATTCAGTCCTAGAAAACCTCAAAGTATTTTTGAGAATCCGTCCTCTTGTGCCTCTTAAAGGCTCAAAAAATAACACAGTAGATCAACATGCTAGGTCGAGGACGAAAAACGTTTGGCCTCAAAATCCATCAAAAAAGAATAGCGTCAAAGAGAAGAAAAATCCACAGAAGAAAAGTAATGATAGTTGTATTACGGTGAGCCAGGATTTTTGTTCGGTTATTTTGTCACCTCCTTTGCATCTACAAGAGACTAAACGCGTCAAATCGGAGGTTTATGAAGGGTTTTCTTATGTGTTTTCAGATGAGTCGACTCAGGTATGTTTTTTTTCCTTGCATAATTATATTATTTTGACATAGCTTTGTTAATACTATGAATTTTATTCTGATGATTTGACTGGCAACTTTTTGTAGTCTGAAGTATACGAAAAGATGATGAATCCGTTGGTTGAGGATTTTCTCAACGGTAAAAGTGGAATGTTGGCCGCATTGGGGTCGACAGGCTCCGGCAAGACACATACAATTTTTGGAAGTTCTCGTGAACCTGGTATGGTTCCTCTAACACTCAAACGGATTTTCAATCCCGCTCAAGGGTGTGCCTCCCAGTCCTCAAGGTAATCCAGGATCTCCCAACTTATAAAAAGGATTTCTATATATATTATATGTGTATATATTAAACATGTAACATTGAATTATGCTGTTTCTTATATGTATAATATCTTTGCAGGCAATTTCACTTATCTATTTCGAAATATGTGCTGAGCGAGGAAAAACCGAGAGGATATGCGATTTAACTTCTGAAAGACCAGATCTGTCTATGCAGCAATCAACCATTAAAGGGCTCGAGGAGGTTTTCTCCCTTCCCCCTATATAATTATGAATGGAAGATAGTTATTATGATGTTTCCTTTATTCATGCAAACAGGTTCTAGTCCATGATGTTGCTGAGGCAGAGTCGTTGATAGCTCGTGCTCTTCTGAGACGTTCTACGGCTATGACAAATGCCAACAGCAAGTCAAGGTGAATGGCTAATTGTAATGTCATTTTATTATACGACCGCTACACATTTAAACATATCATAATGCAACTTTACTAATCTGATTACTGGTCGGCATCATTGCAGCCGTTCACAGTGCATCATCAACATTCGGGGAGGTACTGAAATGTCTGATCCAGAAAATGATAAACAATCTAATTCTGCTGTTTTATCTATTGTTGACCTTGCTGGAGCTGAAAGAGAAAAAAGAACTGGAAATCAGGTATTACTTATTTTCTGATTAAAGATGTGGTTATTACTTAACGACCTTTTCAGGTAGAAATTTGTATGAAAAACGAATCATGTATCGTGGGATAAAATGCAAACATGCTGGCAACCTGCGATTGCTAGACAAATAGTTTATATGTGTAATAGTTGTATATGTAATTGCCCATAAATACATGTCATAATGCTATTTAAATCAAGGATAAGCCTCTAAGTTTTTGTTTGCCAATAGCAATAAAACTTTGTGAAATTTCTAATTTAATTAAATGTTTCTGCGAAAGTTTTAACGTGGCTAAATGCAGAACTCTTGGATGGGACATTAAGAAAGTTTTGCAGCTATTTACTTTTGGTTTTGAACAGTTCTTTCTGGATCTGGTGTGAGCATTTATCTGTGTTTTAAATTTTTGTATGCGGTTTAAAAGCAAAACTAGATCATGATCGGTTGGATTGATATTTTGACAATTTTGATGGAGTTGTAAGAAAGGTTAATGCCGCCTTATCCCGATTAATGTTAGCTTGTATATAAATCAAAATTTCATGTAAGCTTTGTGAAACAAATATCTTATTGCAGGGAGCACGATTGGCCGAAAGCAATTTTATCAATAATACATCCATGGTTTTTGGTCTGTGCCTAAAAGTAAGTGGTTTTAATGTGTTTCCTTGATCTTCAAGACATTCTGAAGTCTCTTATCGATGAGTATTTCTCAGCTATCTTTAACTTGCCCTTTCAGCATATGTGTGACCTTTTCTATTTCGTTTTTCTTTTCTTTACCTCTATTTTCAGTCTTTGCTTGAGCACCAAAAGAATCCCAAGAAGGCACTGCAGAAGCACTTTCAGAATTCCTTGGTATGCTTTATTTGATGAATTCATATGCTTATACCATTTAACTTTGTATGAACTTATTTTCATGCAGCTGACAAGATACCTCCGCGATTATCTGGAAGGCAAAAAGAGAATGACTCTGGTATGAAGCCTTCTTGTTATTCCCCCCACCCCCACTCCAAATTCCTCTTCCAGTACATTTTTTGTTTGTTTCATTTGTAGTTTTAGTTCTTAGACTTTTTAATTTCGTCTTTATCTTATTTTAATTATCCACCAAACTGTTGGAATTTTAATTGTGTTGCCAGATTTTAACAGTAAAATCTGGAGAAGAAGATATCTGGATGCATCATACCTATTACGACAAGCTTCACCTTATATGAAAATCAAGTAATTTTCCCTGTTTTCCCGCAGTTCACGTTTAAGGTTGAACTATAGACTCTATCAGATACAGTTACATTTCCTTTTAGGTTTGCTAACATTGAGGCTCAGTCCAATTTGCTCCGCAACAAGAGACAAATACAAACCTCTAAAGTTGAGCAGTCTAAGAGAATGAAATTTGGTAACTTAGATGCTTCAATGGTAATTTTTCTTTCCCCTTTAAAAGGTTTTTTCTTCCTTCCCTGTTCTATTAGCCTCTTTTTCTCTCCTTTTCTACTATCTTGTGTTTCAGCAGACAATAAGGGTGCATTAAGCAACTTCCCAAGATCCAATGTGTTCTATGATTAATATTTGAACATTATAATTTTACATTCCTAACTTTAGTGTGAGAATGCCCGTTTTTTATACTTTTCCAAAAGCTGTGAATTATATCCTGGAGCATGATACTCTTTTTTCTTGAACATTCTAGAGCTTTTACTATTAACTATATTTAAGTTTTTATATAAAAGTATTTGGTGTTTTTTTCACGTTCATTGCATCATACCATGGAACTGTGATTTTGGAGCATTTAACCATCAGCTTCTTGTCTTGAACACTGAAACTAAATCAATATAAGCATGATTTATCATTATTCACATAAATTTGTTTACAGATTGAGAAAAAGATTGTCGAAGATGGAAATCGGCTTCCTGATGAAGGTTATTAATATGTCCCATTAATTTCTACAGTTATACCAGTTTCTTCTTTTATTTCCATTTTTTTCCCTTTAGCTACTTTCTCATGCCTCCTTTATGAATTTTTAACATGTTTTCTTATTGCATTACAGGAGATCTGACAAGCTGCGGTGCAGACTTAAAAAGTAGTACACCTCTGAAATTGATGAAGGAGAGAACTCATCAGATCACGCAAAGGTTTGCCAAAGCTTTATGGAATGTTTTGAAGCAACATAATGAAAAACTGAAGGTGAGTTATGGGTGGCTTCATGAGATAATCTTCCACTAAATCTTATGAAGCTTATAATGGATATTTTAATATTATTTCAGTGATAACTTAAATTATAGTCCCTGTCATCATCAGGTTGTCGAGTGTGAAAACCAGATTCTAAGAGAAAATCTTAGAAATGAGAAGAAAAGATCTATTGAGATGGAGAAAGAGCTGAAGGATTTGAGATCCTGCTGTACTTGCTCCAAGGACAATTCAGCGGTATCAACCGATGTAAAAGTAGCTGAGGATTTTGAGTTTATTGTGCTTTCCGAGGTACAGAAATTTTGTGGTATTGATGAGGTATGTATGTAAGTAGGAATTATCTCAAATGTTTAAAAAAATTCATAGAACTGTTTTCGTACTTGCATCATGGTATTGGTTCCTGCATAATAATGCTAAAAGGCAACAATTTCATTTCAACTTTTATCTAATGTATTACACAAAACTAGATTCGGAGTCTTCCATTCACATCAAATCAGTATATAGTAGAAGTCCCAGAATGTTTGACTCTAATCCAGGAGTGGATCAAGTACTTTCTTTGATACATATATCCGTTTAGTTCCTTTAATATCATTAATAGATTATCTTCTTAAAATATCTAGCCAATTATGTTTCACGGAGTTAATTTACTTGTACAAGCCTTTTTTTCAACATTCAGAATAATAAGTGCTCACTAGAAAAAGGCGACCCTTTTCCAAGGAAAAAGCAGGTCATGTGTTCTGAGGTACTAGGATCAGTAATCAAAGCTTAATATTAAGCCAATTTTGATGTTATTATATTCGCAATCCTTCCATTGCAAAAGTTGCCCTATTTGTGGTCATTTTTTCTCTTGTCAAATAACTTGTTTCCAATAGTCTGGTACTCTGGTTCTTGCTTCTTGATAAAATTGATAATATCTTGTCATGTGGGGATTAAGTTGTATAATTAGAATGGTTGTTTTCATATTTCCTGTTATCACATACCTACTGTAAAAGGTTCTGATTATGTTGTATATATGGGTATTAAATCAAAATATTCCTTCAAACTTGAATGAGCCTGAATGCATTGATGGTAAGCGAGAGCATGAAGCCATGGTAGGCTGACGCTCCAATTTTTTTTCTGGTAGTATCTTATAGGAGAAACTGGTTTTGGTTGGAAGAAAACTCTCTTTCAATTTTTAATTTTCCCTTATATGGATTTGTTTCATTGGGTGATCAGTTAAGAAATTTAGAAGCAGATGCTAGATCTCCAAGCATTTGTGATTCAAGTGATAACAGTCAGAGTGATAAGGTACGAGTATCATCCATTTCTTGAATCACGGCTGTAAGATTGATATATATGCGATGCATTATTGGGTTTGCTTTGATAGAAATATGGTTTGGTTTCCAAATTAGATACCTGAAAGCTTTCTTGGTACTGAAAATATTCACGAGGATTCAAGTGAGTCAAATAATGTGGTTGCTGAGCATCTTGATCCTAATTCACATGAAACAGGTCTGGTTTAGAAATTATACTTTTATATTACAAACCGCAATCATGAAACATATTACATCTTATAGGCCCCTTGTTTCCATTTCTCCTGTGTTTGCAAAATAGATAACTGCCTATCATATATGTTCTGCTGATTTGTGTTTTTTTTTGGGGTGTGGTGGTGGTAGGTGGGGTGGGTTTCCTTCTCCTTCAATATATTGTTTCACCTATATGACAAATTTAAGCCTTTAATGTTTTGCAGTTAGACTTTCAGGCAATGAAAGTAGTACATCTGTGCAGTCATGTCAACAGCTTGGTGAAAACAATGAGGTTAGTGTCTGTTCCACATTATGTATTAATGTCAAAATTGACCATTAGCTTTGTTTTTCCTTTGACAACATTTTTTGCCTTCTCTAGGACTCACTGGATCTGCTCGTATCACATAAGCAAGTTGATTTGAGTGATAACAGTCAGGGTTGTCAGGTACGAGTATCACTCATTTCTTGTATCAGGGTTGTAAGATATATATATATGCGATGCATTTTTGGAAAGGTTTTGACAGAAATATGGTTTGGTTTCCAAATTAGATACCTGAAAGCTTTCCTGGGACTGAAAACATTCACGAGGATTCAAGTTATTCAAATAATGTGGTTGCTGAGCATCTTGATCTTAATTCACATGAAACAGGTTTAGTTTAGAAACTCGACTTTTATAATAGAAACCACAATCATGAAACATAATACATCTTATTGGTCCTTGTTACTGTTTTTCCTGTGTTTGTAAACTAGATAACAGCCTATCATATATATTTTGTTGCTTTGTTTTGGGTGGGGTGGGGAACTGGGGGGTTATTACCTTCTCCTTCAGTATATTGTTTCACTTATATGAAAAATTTAAGCCTTTCACGATTTGTAGTTAGACTCTCAGGAAATGGAAGTAGTGCAACTGTGAAGCCATATCAACAGCTTGGTGAAAACAATGAGGTCAGTGTATGTTCTATATTTCTGTATTAATGTCAAAATTGACCATTAGCCTTTTCCCCCCCTTGACAACATTTCTTGCCCTCTATAGGACTTATTGGATTTGCTTGTATCACATAAGCATGTTGATTCAAGTGATAACAATCAGGGTCGTCAGGTACGAGTATGACCCATTTCTTGGATCAGGGTTGTAAGATTTATATACATGTGATGCGTTTTTGGGATGGTTCTGACAGAGGTTTGGTTTCAAAATTAGATACCTGAAAGCTTTCTTGGGACTGAAAACATTCACGAGGTTTCAAGTGAGTCAAATAATGTGGTTGCTGAGCATCTTGATCCTAATTCACATGAAACATGTTTATATTACTAATCGCAATCATAAAACATGTTACATCATATAGGCCCCTTGTTTCCATTTCTCCTATGTTTGCAAACTAGATAACGACCTATCATATATGTTCTGCCGATTTGTTTGGTGTGTGTGTTAAGATGGGAGGTGGTTATTTCTTTCAATCTATTGTTTCACCTATATGACAAATATTAACCTTTCACATTTTGCAGTTAGACTTTCAGGCGATGAAAGTTGTACATCTGTGCAGCCATGTCAACAGCTTGGTGAAAACAATGAGGTTAGTGTTTGTTCTATATTCTGTATTAATATCAAAATTAACCTTTAGCCTTTTTTCATTTGACAACATTTCTTGCCCTCTCTAGGACTCACTGGATCTGCTGGTATCACATAAGCATGTTGATCCAAGTGATAACAATCAGGGTCATCAGGTACGAATATCACCCATTTATTGGATCAGGGTTGTAAGATTTATATATTGCGATGCATTTTTGGGATGGTTTTGAGAGAAATATGGCTTGGTTTCCAAATTAGATACCTGAAAGCTTTCATGGGACTGAAAATATTCACGACGATTCAACTGAGTCAAATAATGTGGTTACTGAGCATCTTGATCTTAATTCACATGAAACAGGTCTGGTTTAGAATCTCAACTTTTATATTACAAACCACAATCATGAAACATGTTACAACTTACCATTTCTCCTGTATTTGCAAACTAGATAACGACCTATCATATATATTTTGTTGATTGGGATTTCTTTCTCCTTCAGTCTATTGTTTCACCTATATGAAAAATTTAAGCCTTTCACGTCTTGTAGCTAGACTCTCAGGCAATGGAAGTAGTGCATCTTTGAAGCCATGTCAACAACTTGGTGAAAATGACGAGGTTTGTCTCGATTCCGCATTCTGTATTAATGTCAAAATTGACCGTTAGCCTTTTTTTTACCCTGCAACATTCCTTGCCCTCTCTAGGACTCACTGTATCTACTGGTAACACATAAGCATGTTGATTCAAGTGACAACAATCAGGGTCTTCAGCTACGAGTATGACCCATTTCTTGATCAGGGTTGTAAGATTTATATTTATGCGATGTATTTTTGGGATGGTTTTGACAGAAATGTGGTTTGGTTTCCAAATTAGATACCTAAAAGCTTTCCTGGGACTGAAAATATTCACGAGGATTCAAGTGAGTCAAATAATGTGGTTGTTGAGCATCTTGATCCTGATTCACATGAAACAAGTATGGTTTAGAAACTCTAAATATTACAAACCACAATCATGAAACATATTACATCTTATAGTCCCCTTGTTACCATTTCTCATGAGTTTGCAAACTTGATAACGGCCTATCATATATGTTCTGCATATTTGTTTGAGAAAAGGGGGGGTGTATTTCCTTCCCCTTGATCTATTCTTTCACCAATAAGACAAATTTAAGCCTTTCACATTTTGCAGTTAGACTTTCAGGCAATGGAAGTAGTACATTTGTGCAGCCATGTAAACAGCTTGGTGAAAACGTTGAGGTTAGTGTCCGTTCTACATTCTGTATTAATGTCAAAATTGACCATTAGCCTCCCCCCTTTGACAACATTTCTTGCCCTCTCTAGGACTCACTGGATTTGTTGGTATCACATATGCATGTTGATTCAAGTGACAACAATCAGGGTTGTCAGCTACGAGTATGACCCATTTCTTGGATCAGGGTTGTAAGATTTATATACATGCGATGCATTTTTGGGATGGTTCTGACAGAAATATGATTTGGTTTCCAAATTAGATACCTGAAAGCTTTCCTGGGACTGAAAATATTCACGAGTATTTGAATGAGTCAAATAATGTGGTTGCTGAGCGTCTTGATCCTAATTCACATGAAACATGTCTGGTTTAGAAACTCGACTCTTATATTACAAACCATAATCTATTATTTCACCTATATGACAAATTTAAGCCTTTCACGTTTTGCAGTTAGACTTGCAGACAATGAAAGTAGTACATATGTGCAGCCATGTAAACAACTTGGTGTAAACGATGAGGTTAGTGTCATTTCCACATTCTGCATTAATGTCAAAATTGACCATGAGCTTTTCTTTTTTTGACAACATTTCTTGCCCTCTCTAGGATTCACTGGATCTGTCAGTGTCGCATAAGCATGTTGAACAATCTCAACATCATGACCTTACTGATGTCCCCGAGGGTGGAGTAAGACCTAATACCTCCCGCAGCTCTTCAAAGATGGAAAAACCAAAAAGGTATGTGGACTTTGGATCACGGTAATTGCCTTGCTTTACAAAGTTATTTGCTCATGACCCCCCCCCCTAATTGCTATATGTTGCACAAACAGGAGACTTTTGCCTAAATCATCCATTCTAGTCAGGGAAATCAGCACCTATGATGCTGATGAGATTGACAAACCAAAGGTTAGTTGATAATCCTCGTGATCTGTTGTTTTGAAGTTTTCAAATTAATCTAAACGCACATAACAGGGAATATGATGCTTAATAGTGTTGCTTGTAAAGAAAATAAAACAATATTATTCATTCCAATGAACAAACATATCTGCTTGAATCTCTCTGCAGGGGAACGTAGGTAGGAAGAACTTGGCTGCTGCTGAGAGGCAAAGAACTCAGGGCAGCATTTCTCTCCTACAATTACTTAAGAATAATCTTCATCTCTAGTTTAGCACCTTTTATTGCTTTACGTACAAGCTTGCTCTCTTTGTATGGATGTGGCTGTTCTGAGTTCTTTTTTGAAAAAATGTTCTATAGCCAAGTATAAGCACGGCAATGGGTATTGTTTGCTTAATGGTCTATACTTCTGAAAGCTTATATAGTTTAAATTTTAATTCTTAAATACTGTTCAGATTAAAGTAAAATTTTCTTCGTAAAAAATAGAACTATTTCATTATAAGGGTAGCCTACTATCTTATCTTTTCTTTACTTTATTACATATGTGAATAGGGTCAGCTAATTAATACTCTTATTTCAATGTTAAAAAACAACTCTTATTTCAATGGTTTTCGAATTATGAATATATCATAAGTAAAATGTTAAATTACATTAATAGTTATTGAACTTTTAGAATGTTTGCAATTTGATCACGTAATTGAAAAACTTTTATTCTGATGATTAGTGTTAAAGAATATTTTTATTTCAATCACTGTGGAGTTTAAAAATGTTTTTGGAGTGATACAGAACGTTTTATTCGGCAAGGTTTTGATTACTAAAGGTGTAATGGTAAACAATAGGGGTGTTTAAAACTAGGTACTTGCATATTTTGATACGAGGTATTGGGTACCTAATTCTCCGGGTAATATTGGCCCATTTAGTTTAGATATTTAGTAGTTGGATGCTCGTAAAATTTGGATACCTAATTCATATATTTTTTAATTTAATTTAAAAAAAAAATTATCACATATGAAATATATAAAATTTTAAAAGTTCATAGTATACAATTCATACACAATAATTAGTGATTTTTTCTTAATCCATATTAAATAATTAATAAAAAATTAAGAATTCAAATTTTAAAAGTACATAATTTGAACCTAAGAAAAAAATTAAGGATTTAAATTAAATTTTAAGATATAATCTAAAGGACAGAAAATGAAAATATAATTTAATATATACATATTAAAACTACCCGATCAAGTCAGGTACCTGATTATAAAAAATTTCTACCTAGATCCAACCCAATGACCTGAAGAAAAAAATCACAGGTTGAGTAATTCTTTTAAAGAATTACTTAATTTTTAAGTTCGGACCTGTAGATCAACGGATCGGATAAGATATTTTTAAACACCCCTAGTAAACAAGTATTATATCTAGTTGAGCGCTTTTTTAAAATAGAGTTGTAAATAAGATGAGACAAATATTGAGTTACTTAAGGTTAAATTGATCAAAAGTCGATTAATATTTAAATTGAATAGACTTGAACTCAAAATTAATTTTTGATCAAATTTAACTTAATATTAAACTTTTAAAATAAACTCCAGCTCAATAATATTTGAATTCCATTGTAACTTAAGGTCAATTCCGCTAGCGAAGAATATTGGGGAGGATACAGGGAATACGATGGCTGGGGAACCCAAAGCCCTAAACTTTCTGGTGGGAATGCTTTCATGTTGCTCTCGATATTAGCATCAAGGAACGACAACATGCAATCATCACTCTGAATAAATTAGATCCAAAAACTAAAAAAAAAATCAAATCCAAAAGAAAATAACATAATTAATAAAAAACAATTTGTCAAAGCTAAATAGTAAGAAAGAAAATGATAACCATAGATGAATGCAAACCTTACAGAAACCAAGGGGAGGTGAAGTGGAATCAAGGAAATCTTCGGTGTGTCACCCTAGAAGCATCTCTATCAAGTACTCAGATGTGTTACTTGTTGACTCACCGTCTTCAGTACCGATAGAGGATGTATAGAGAGAAGAGGTAGCAGTGAGTATAACCCCTTATGAAGAAATCTGTTATGTTTCTGGGTATGTTCGTTTGCCGCATGATTGAAGAGATTAAAGAAAACTGGGGAGAGATTAGGGTACAGGGTGAAGAAAAAAAAGGGTTGTTGGTGTTGGTGTTTGCCGCGGTGATGACTGTGGCCGGTGTTGTTCGGAGCTGGAGGAAGGTGGGGAAGGATGGTGGTGTTGATGGTAGAGATAGAAAAGAGGTGACATGATGTGTTCTAATTGATCTAATTTTTTTTAATGGTATTAATGATTTGGGACAAACGAGTAACGATTTATAATTAATGAGATAAAAAATTTCCAAAAATATTAGATACAAATAATATAATTAAGGGATAATAGGACATTTAAACATTTTCATGATTACATTTTTTTTTCTTGGACAAACAAATGCTATAGCTAATAGTATTCCTCCAAAAGCAGGCAAACACCTGTTACATCCAAGCCAAAAGGAAAATAAACTGTTGACAGAAAGTAATTTAGCGGAGGCTGCAAACAGCATCCCCCAATTCCCCAATGTGGAAAAACTAGACAATCCATCAAGGATGCATGACCAGGCAAAACAAAAGAGTAGTTCGGAAAGCCATTTTGTTTGTATCTCAAGAGAGAAAATTTACCAGATATCCACTAGAGAATCGAAGTCCAATCAATAGAAGTTTGAACGAGGAAAAAGGCGCTTGAGGGCCAGGCCATTGCCAACATGATGATGCTCTTAGCTTTTGCTTCCCCACATAGACCAGTAGCTAACATGATGGTGTTGCTGGAATATAGTTGCAAGCACAGGACCTCGTAGGAAATGAGATTTAAATGCAGTAGCTTCTGAGGTTTACAACATTCTTCAAACTCTCGCCTAAAAATTTGAAGCAACCAAAAATTGGTGCCTTTTACCAAAATAATAATAACAAAAAGGTAGTGTTCCTGCCAACAAAATCTCTCGAGGCCTAGCATTGCTGC